AAGATGGCAGTCTTTGGTGCACCCCCTCCTCTCCCCCTGCTTCCCTCTCCCCAAGATTGTGCGTTACTTACCGGGGCAGGAATATTAACCACGCCGATATTGAAGCCATAGAGGAAAGAATTACCAAGTACGGCCACAAACGTACTAAATATTAAACTAAACGTAAAGTTGATTTCTCGTTCCTGAAAATAGAAAAGAAACAAAAATGATGTGGATATTTAATAGTGTTAGTCCAATCAATTAAAATTTGATTACGATTGCTTTTCTTTTTTGTTTTTCTGATATCTTCTACATTGTAATCAAAACAGATTTCTACTAAAGGCCCGCCCCAATAATTTTATTTTAAACCAATCAAAGTATGTCGTGTAAAACCCGTTTCTTGATGCAAAATAAGGAATTGTTTGTCATATTGTTCTACTTTAGGTTTTGATATACCACAATTCCTTATTTTATCAAGAAACAGATCCTTCATTTCACACTTTGATTGGTTAAAAAATACTACCTTTGGAACGGATCTTTGGTAGGAAAGTTGCTAGATTACTTTGGAGACTGACCATTTTGTTTGTTGGTAATCCATAGGCCCGCGCACAGCGCCCGGTGGTCCGAACTGTCAGTCGCCCCAGTAAGGGGAAATATTTATAATAACACTGGCATATATAGTTCGTCGACGGTATACAGCGTCTTTCATGAAATGGACGTAAAACTCCATTTTAATTCAATCGATGTTGTTTGTGTTGAAATGTCGGACTTAGAACTTCAGTTGTTATATCAAAGGTCAAAATCAAAAAACCAACAAAAAAACCCAAAAAACCCCACTCAGACTTCTTTAAGATATCTCGATAATTCGATCAAGGTGCATTCAGTACTGATTAGCTTATCATTGAGATATGTCAAGATAACGACGGTTCAAAAAGAGGTTGCCTAAACGTCATAATTTATTTTAGGAACACTTGCTATGATATTCCTATTTTCTCTAAAGATACATAGACGTGGGAGTAACAAGATATCAAATGCCTTCATTTATATCATGAAGCCCACTAAATATCTTTTCTTTTCTGGTGT